CGTTTGTGTATCAGTTATAGGCATCATGGTTAGCTCACAGTATGGGTCGGTTATTCTTGGCCGAGAATGGACAGTCATTATTGTGTGGGGCAGTTTCTGAGTTCTCTAAGAGTATTCTCACGGGGATCTTGTTTGGTATGTGTAGGGTCATCGGGTTTGGTTCCCGGTCCATTTTCGATCGTTGGTTGTTCGATTATCAGTAGCAAATGAGGTTATTCGAATAATTCAAGCTGAATCATCTAAGGGTGTGACTTATGAGATGACCCTTAGTCAAGTCTAGTAAAGTTGTGTTTTGGTCTCGGTGTGGGTGACCTCTTGATTTTCTTGGTTGTAAAATTGTTGATTCTTGTGATTTGAGATGATAGTTGGTCTTAGTTATTGGAAGATCGTATATCGAATTAACGATGTTCAATTTTCAGGAATGATTGTGGTTGCACAAGATGCCATTTTGGTAGATCGCATGGACTGGGTTGGTATTAGGATTTTTTCGAGCAGGATTTTGGCAACATTTCCGACCAATTTTGGAATCCTTCCCGAAGTTGAAGGTTTATTTGATCTTTTGCGTATTGGTGGGATATGTTCAGTTTGTCAAGGTATGGGATCTCAAATGTGGTTAATAGAAGGATGTGTCTAATAACGGTTGGGGATTTGTCGTTTCGTTTGATTTGCTGGTACGTCACCTTAGAGGTAAGGTCACGTTTAAGAAGAAACACACTTGGCCTTAGGAGTGTTGTGTTTTGTCCTTGGGACTATGTCATGTTGTGTTTACAAGATGGAGCAGACATTCGACTATCTATTTTGTTTCTTGATTATGTGCGGTCAGGTTTCATCTAACGTAGTGTTAGAGGCAGTTGGACTATAGAAGAGTGTGTGTTTCAGAATGGTATGGCTCCTGAAATTTGATAGTACTGAGTGGGATGTTGACTGGGTCCTTACTGGTCAGTGGGATGATGACAATGTGTCTTTAGACTGTTGGATGTTGGTTGGGAGTTCTCATGGTTGTGGCTAGGTGATGACAGGGGCAGTGAGGAGCCTTGAGCTTTTCATCCCAATGACTTGATGGCAACATGACGTGTCGTAGGCCATCATGGATTTCACTTGTGTGAGTAGGGCTGGCGGTTATGTAACAGAGACCCATGTTTTGGTTTGCTAGTCGTGTGGTATGGACGGGCGTTGTGCAATATAGTGTTGTCATTGGTGGCTAAGTGACCGGTAGGTGGAGTCGGGCAGCTGTATGGTGTTGGCTTGCGGGCGAAGTCATGGTGGTATATTAGCAGTCCATTATTGCGATTCTTATTAGTGGGTTGTGTTCGTCTTATAATGAAGTTTCGTGTGAGTCTTCTCACCGTACTGCTTGTGTCATAATGGTATGTATACTAGACTAGTTGAATCTTAGTAACTGGTGGCTGTATGAGTATTCTTAGAGTTGCTGATAACTCCAGGACTGCTGATAGTCCTCAAGACTACTAATAGACCTAGGGTTGTTGATAACCCATAACCGTTTAGATTGACATAAGGGTGGTGGTTCACTGGTTGAGAATACCAGGAGGCAGGTGGTGCTAGTGGTTTTGAGACCATTGAGAATTTTGGCAGATAGTTGTGCACCTGGCGTTTTTTTGGGAGCCTAAATGTCACAGGAGTTTTGATATTTGCTATGACTGCGATTGTAGGAGTAATTTGTTAGTTGCGACTTGTCAATAAGTTGGTTTTGCAGTTAAGGTCTCTAATTTTGATATCTGATTTTGGGTTGGAATAAGGTGAATCGTTGCTGTTCCGTTTGACTATCTCCATGGCTTGATGCAGGGTTTTTGGACCAAGGGGTTACTTCTAGAGTGGAAGCGAGAAATGATTTCGAGGACAAAATCTAATTTAAGTTGGAGAGAATTGTAACACCCAGTTTCTAGAATAGATCGGTTTAGGGCTTCAAGGAGTCAAAGGCATGGTTTTTGGTTAAAACCAGGTGTCACGACGTAACCATGGAGAGGTTACGACGTGACAAGTGATTAAATGAAAATGTTTATTTTACTGAGCTCACGACGTGAGATACTAGTGCTCACAACGTGAGATGCGTTGCAGCCTAATCCCATGATCTTTTAGGGTTTCCTTCGTATTTAATCCCCATAAACTTCATTTTAGGGTTCATTTATAGCCTCCTTCGTCCTCAAACACAAAAAAACCCTTAACCCTAGCCTCTCTTTATGATTTTTGAGCCTTTGGTGGTGTTTTGGTGGCTTAAAGAAGAAAGGATCACCTTTGGAGCATAGATCCAGTTTGGAAGCTTTATTTGCATCTGCTAGCAACATCTCTGGACCTTTGTAAGTAACCAAGATTCAAGCTTTGTGATTTCTTGTTGCTAGATCTAAGATTTTATGCATGATTATCCATGTTTAGATGAGTTATAGTGTTGTGACTCCATAAAGTTAGCAACTTTATGGTTCCTTAGAGTCCCTTAGTGATTATACGTAGTGGATCTGAAGTTTGGATGATGTTTGAGCTCATGCTTGAGTTTTAACCTCCTTTTTCTTCATGAGTGCCTTAATTTGAGCTCAAGTCTTGCATTGGACACACAAGACCTTAAAGCATCGATTTTTATGGTCTTTGGGATGTTAGGAAGCATTCTGGAGAAGATGGATTAGTGGCTTAATGGATTAAGGAGTTTCTTCATCAAAATGCCATTCAGATAGATCTCACGTCGTGAGTCTATGTCTGTCATGTCGCGAGGATCAAAGAGTCTTGATTATTTTGTCTTTTAGTGGCTCACGACGTGAGACTATGCTTGTCACGTCGTGAAGGGCAGTTAACCTGTTGACCGTTGACTTTTAGACCAGTTTGACTTGGAGTCAAACTTGAAGGATCCGGCCTGTTGACTAGGATTCTATCATGTTTTGGTGTTAGAAGGTTCGTGGGAGCAAGCAGTGCAGAAAAAGGGGATGCGTCGCAGTGTTTCTAGGTTCTTCGATTCAGGTGAATTTTCCTCACTGTACCTGTGAGTCGAAGGCATCAATGTCGACCTTCTAGATTTGGTTATGTATCCTTGTGTTTAGGATGTTGTTGCGCTATAATGAACTGTTAGATATATTTACATCCTTATGTGTTAGGATGTAACAGTAGTAGTATGCTGGTTAGAGTACCAGTAGGCTAGTTACTTATGTCTATGCTTTTTCATGGAGATTTGCTGGTAGCAGAGTAGTGTGTTGTGAGGGGTGTAGTAGGCGGTAGTGAGCTGCATGATTGGTAGTTGTCTGTATTTACGTGCCTACTTGATTTTTTAATTGTTTATATGTCGATATATTGTAGTAGTTGGGTTGAGGCAGCAGGCCAACAAACCCGAAGAGCGGTTGGGGTCGAGGCAGCATGCCAACACACTCAATATGGATGTTGCATATATATATATATATATATATATATATATATATATATATATATATATATATATATATATTTGATGTGTATATTTTGGGGAAATACACTAAGCTTCGTGCTTACCCAATTGTTGATGTTTTCAGGTATCATTAGGGAATGTGGAAAGGTGAAGGCGTGACTGTAAACATTCATCAGCAGCAACGAAGATTCCGTATTTACTATAATACTCTGATTTTCAACAATGTGTCCTGTGACGAATGATTTTTCTTAACTTGTATTCTGAAAATGAACAGTTTTGCCTTAATTAAAAATAAAAATTTTTTATTGTGAAAATGAGACGTTATAAAAACAATGGAAATATATTGTATATATTCGCAGCTTACCTTTTGTTTATAATCAAACTGTTTTCTTTAATGTCGATGTAATAAATTTACAAATTTGCCTTATAACCAGTGTTTTGAAAACCGGACTGAACGGGCCGGTTGAACTGGTTCAACCGGGAACTGGCCACGTTACTGGTTTTTTAACACCCAAAAATTGCTTGAAAACCAAACCGCTAAAAACCACTGGTTTTGTTAAAAATCGGATTAAATCGGAAATAAAATCGGTTTATTGATCAAAATTTTGGTTTTCTAATATACAACCCAAGGCAGCAAGCCGGCTTATAAGAGCCAGCCGATTGGAATGGGATTTTTGATTATTCTTCCAAACGCTGGTAAGGCTCCTTTTATAGACTACATATTCCTTTTAACTTTTTCTCCCCCGTCGATGTGGGATGCCTCAAAATGCTTCCATATTCCTCCAATATGCTTCCAATTCCTTTACACTTTTACACAACATACCTTTTAATATATTACATATATATTTAAATCACACGCACATTATTCCATATATATTTAGGGGGTGTTTGGCTAAGCTTTTCAAAACAACTTATTAGGTTCCACACAATTATAAGTTAAAAAAGTGTTTGGATAAAAGTAACTTATTCCGATGGGGAACCTCTAATAAGTCATTTTTTCATAAGTTACCCTACACTTACTTATTAACTTATAAGCTAATAATTTAATAAGTTATAAACTAATAAGCAATGCCAAACACCTCCTTAAATCACACACATCATGTATATTTAATATACATATATAAATCACTCACATATATTTTTTATAGAACTGCCACATATATTTAAATCACACATACATTACATACATTACGTATATATTTAATATCCATATATAAAACGCACACACCCATATATATATATATATATATATATATATATATATATATATATATATATATATATATATATATATATATATATCCGGTTTTTTCGGTTTTTAGGACCGATCCAATTGGTCGGACCAGCTGAACCATCGACCCAGTAAGACGACCGGTTCAATGTCCGGTCCGGTTTTCAAAACGTTGTTTATAACCAAGTGACACATAAAATCAGTTTTAAATGTTGATGACAATTTGATAATTACTCGGCCCAACGTATTCAAAGCCCAACTGAGCTAATATCTAGATTTTAGCCTTTTTAGGCCATGTGAAGTGTTTCAAAAATTTCACTTCAGTCCTTGATTTTCAAATATATCTGATTTGTACCCTAAAAAATTTTGTTTTCTCACACGGGTATCTTAAGTACTTAAGTTACCACTGGAATTCCGTCCGCAACCATGGCGTCTTGTCTAAAACGAAGAACAAGTAAACTTCTATCGCAAAAGCCTCGAATCCTTTCATCCTTCTTCGCCGTAAGTTGATTGTAATTTTACCAATATTTGCTATATAATGGTTACTCTTAATTCTTTTCGGAAATTCGCGTGGGTTGTGATTAAATGCTTGTAGATTTCTAGGGTTTTTTTGTTCGTCAGAATTTCAAGATTTAGCAATCTTTTCTATTTTAGGTTTTTGTATTGCAGCCGTGATTTGGTTCTCTAATATGTTATTCCTAAACCCTGTAAACTTGCAGATGTATGTATGTACTTCAAATTAGGGTTTTATAAATTAAACTAGAACGATTGATCTGGATACGAAAGCAAACCAGCAATGCCTAGAGTTTCCATTCTTGTTATAAGAAACAGAGTATCCTTACCTTCATCAATGGTGTGCATTTGCCTGTTTGAACTTGATATCTAATTCGCTCATTTGATTAGCAGTTTACTGCATTCCCACAGTGCTCCTATTTTTATGATTACTCGAAGCTTTTTGTTGGTTGATTTATGTTCTTTCATTTATGTCATGTAGATGTTCTCTGTCATCTGCAGGAGAGATGGTTTGGTATGTTGGCTTACCAAGACCATTTAGCACATAAGACTAATACTTCCATTATCAAGAACCTTGCTTTAATAAAAGATGGGTTAACAGCTTCTTTTTCAACATTCTCTGATTCAACCAATGAACTGGTGGTAAGTTTTACTGTTATTCTTTTTCTTTGTTTGTTTCATGTCACTATTTAACTTTTGGTTTTTTCTCTAGGAAGCAGAAGTATCCACCAACATTCCCGATGAAAAAGATGAAACACTCCAAGATCAGGTCTCAATTTTAACTTCTTTAATCAAATTTTATTTTTATTTAAAAAAAAATGATGAAAATCCTTAACCTCTCTTCTATTTCCCTTTTTTCCTCCAAGAGTATCAGTTACCACCAAAAACCTGTCAAGATTTATTCATACAATGGGGATGCAACAACCACGAAACATCACAAATCTTTGAACGAATGCCATCTCTCCACAAAGCAAAACTCGATAAACTTCAATCCAAATTACAAATCCTTCATGACCTCGGATTCACCTCCTCTGACTTAGTCAAAATCATAAGCTGTAGGCCCCGTTTTCTCAAATCAAGACTCAACAACTGCCTCGATGAACGTGTCAACTACCTCGAAAACATATTCGGATCAAAACAAACCCTCCAAAAAGCCATTCTTAGAAACCCTTCCATTCTTACATACGATTTAAAAAAAATGATCAAACCCACAGTCGAGTTATACAAATCAATGGGTATAACCGGAGACGATTTAGCCCTAATGCTACTATCACGCCCCACCATAATCCCACGCACCTCACTAACACCTGAAAAATTGGATTACATTAAAAGAACGGGTGCTTCTCGAGATTCTAAAATGTACAAATACGTTGTTACCCTTATGGCGATTTCACGAATCGAAACAATTCGTGAAAAAATAGCGAATTTGGAGAAATTTGGGTTTGTTGAGGATGAGGTTTTTCGTCTTTTGGGCACCTCGCCACTTGTGTTGACTTTATCGGTTGACAAAGTTCAAAGGAATATGACTTTTGTGGTGGCAAGTATGAAATTACCAGCGAGGGTAGTGCTGAGTCATCCGTTTTTGCTTTATAATAATCTTGAAACGGTTATGAAACCTCGGATGATTGTTGCTGGGAAGATTGAGGATTTGGGATTGGTTCCGAGGATTGAGGGGTTTAAGGTTTTTACGGCTTTGAGGATGACAGAAAAGAGGTTTTTGAAGGCGTTTATTGATTGTCACCCTTTGGAGATTTCAAAGTTGTTGATGGAATGTTATTTGGATGCAAAACATGTGAAAAGATTAGCCGAAGAATCCAAGAAGATTTTGCATAAAGGGTTTCCTTTTTGAGGTTATATGTTTTTTAATGTGTTTGTCAAATTACTTGTGTAACTTAAGTTTAGCAAATGAGAATGATTTTAAAGATTACATTTTTCAATGTAAAGTTACATTGTTTGAGGACATGTTTGTTATGCGAAACAGTACATAACAAATTGTATTGGTTTAATATTTATTGGATTAGACTGATGTCAACGAGACAAAAGTTATAATTTTTCTTTTTCTTGGAAGTATGGGCAAGAAAGACAACAAAGACAGGCTCGTTTTGAATATCGTGTATGTTCAAAAGACGTTAATGCCCTTACTATCGATAGTAAACGAAAATAACTTATGTAACAAATGAAACCCTAAGATATAGAAACAATAGAAGAATCTCAACAGGAAGCAATATAGATATATATGTATGTTTTCTTTTAGATCAATTTTGACAAAATTCTACCTATCAAAGACAAGTTATTACATCCTCTAAACCTGATACAGACACATGACAACTTTAAACAATACAACCTTAAAGAAATCTTTAATGTCAGTAAAAATCTGTTCTTTTTCTTCATGAACAATTAAAAATAATAATAAGAAAAAAAAAAACTTCTGTTGATAAAAAAAAAAACCACCACCTTCAGCAACCCATCACAGCACAATTGTAGACAAAGTTACTACTCTGTTTCCTCCCAAGCATAGTCCACCGTGGCGGCCCATCTCGTGGGACCCACGAATTCACTTCTATAAACCCGGTCCCACTACTCCTGGGCCCACCAATCACAACAACCCGGTCACCACAACCCCTAAACGCGATCCCCCACCCGTTCATCGAGTCTGCCCGTTCGGGCAGCCGCCCGACCGTCTCCCATTCTTTCCTTTTTTTATCATACTTTCTCACTTCCATATCTACACAGTCAGCAGCATACAGCTCATTATCCACCACCGCCACTAGCGGCGGCGCCTCCATGGTGGTTGCTGACGTGGCGGCCCGCACCGGCGACATATTCGGAATCTCCGTCCAAACCCGCGTAACCAAGTCAAACTCTTCACCACAAGTCAACGGGCTCATGTCAACACCTCCTACCCCACCAATCACATAAAACTTATTATCCATAAATACCCCTGAACACATTTTTCTTGGTTTCAACATGTTGGGAAGAGTCACCCATTCGCCTGACTCACTGTTGTAAAGCTCAGCCGAGTTCATAACCTTTCCAACCGGGTCCGACCCGCCCGCGACAATCGCGATCTGCCCGAGACTTGCTGACCCGAATAAACATCTGGGCGCGTTCATTAGCTGCCCGAATGACCATGAATTTGTTAATAAGCTGTACTTGTAGATGACATGATCAAGAACTTCTTTTCCTAACACGAGTAACTCGGTGCCAACTGCTAATGATTCTTTATCGGAAAATTGAAAGCATGTGTTTGATGACATTGTGGGAAGATGCATCCAATGTTGGTTAATCGGGTCGAAAGCTTCCCATTGGACCAGGTGGCAAGAAAAGTAAACCCAATGTTCGATGATGTTGTTTTTTCGTCTTAATCGGTATAGTTCACCGGTTCTGATGAGGTCACGGAAGGTCCGGTTTAACGATGCTAAAGCACCGTAATCGGACCGAGAGCATCGGAGGAGACAACTGATTGAGTTGTCTCGTCCGATTGCGTGGATTAGAGAACTGGAATCGGAATCGGAATCGGAATTGGAATTGGAATCGGGATTGGGATGATTGTTGGATTGGTCGATGGCGAGGTCGTGAAATCCTAATCCGAGTTCAAGATTTTCATACTTGGAGATTTTTCGGGTGTGAACGGGTTCTTCATCTTCGAGTTGTTCTAATGGTCGTTTTTCTTGATGGGATTCGATGTTGTTGATTGTGAAATTACTCATAAAACCCCAGGTGGTGTTGCTCTTGGTGTTGAAGGTTCTTGAAACAAAAAAGGATCGATCCTCCAACATGCCTTCTTGAATCAAACCCAAAAGAGATGGAAAACTTTTGGGTATCCCTGAATGAACACTATTATCAAGATTCTTGAATTCTTCTTCTTCTTTGATCACCACCAAGCAGGAAACTTTTTCAACTGAAATCGCATATAGGAATATGATTATTATATTACCAAGTTATGAATCAGATAGAGATTCTTATTCGCAAAAATTGATGTATTGGGAAATAATAGAATCAAGTAGGTGAAGAAACACAAACACGAAGCAGTAATCGAACTGCTGTTAATCTACAAATGGCAATAACGAATAACACAAATCATGATAAAAATCGAAACTTTGTAAGACAAGATGCAATAATAATTTGATATTGGAAATACTCAGATCTCTTAATCTCGATATCAAATAGAATTTAACAAAGTCAACCAATCCAATCGAATGATAGTGTCAAAACCCTAAATCAATCTACTGAAAATTGAAAGCTGAGGCACTTTTTCCCCAATCAAAAAGTTAATTAGATCTGTTTGATTGGAGATTACACTAATTAAATAAAAGGGTATTTAACTTACCGAGTGGATAAGAAGAATTTACACAGGACTGCCTCCTTTGTATCGAATTATGCCGAAAATTACTCTTTCTCTACATGAATTTGTTAGTTCATCAATGCTTTCTATCTTTCTCCAGCTTTCTGCATACAGGTGTCTGTGATGTGAGCTTCAGTTATTGGCGTTTCACAAAAACGAAAAAAAAAACTTGCTTTTGGTATATTTATATATATATATATATATATATATATATATATATATCTCTCTAGAAATCTGGAAAGCAAATGCTTTTTAGAGTTAATTTTTGTTGGGGTAAGAGAAATTAGGGAATAACAACAGGTTTTGTTATTGCTGTTTTTATTGCTTCATCTCTAATACAAATTCAAGACCTCTTTGTGAAATTTATCTCTATTATGAACAGATGTATACATAAATACATACATATATACATAGATAGACATATATATATATATATATATATATATATATATATATATATATATATATATATATATATATATAGAGAGAGAGAGAGAGAGGAGAGAGAGAGAGAGACAGAGAGATAAGAGAGAGATATAGAGAGAGAGGGGAAGCGGGGGAGGTCGGATGGAGGAGAAAGAGGAGGACGGCGGTCGACGGTGGCGTATGGGACCCACAACCAGCTGGGTTTTTTTCTAACTTTGCGTCGAGTCGCCGCCGTGTTCGACTGTTTTTAAGGGGTTGAGGAGATTACCGGTAACCGGCAATAGCCAGTCTTGACACGTGTTTTGGTAATCTTTATATTGTTTTTGTCTTTTTGACAAATCGGTCACCCCCTTTTCATTATGAGTATTTTTCAATTTCTAGTTCTCACGATATACGAGTTTTGGGGCTTTTATTCGTGTACGTCTCTGCTCCACAAAGTAAATCATTTCTTCGATATTTAGGTTCCTAGGTTATAACAACATATTAAAAGAATATTCATACTTCAAAATCATAATATTGATTAATGATTTTCAAACGGCTATTAATTTACAAATTTAGATGATTTGTCTATAATAAAATGGTGGAAATATGAAATTCTAAGAGGGCCAATTCATTATACACACAACCAAAAACACACATTCACACAGATAACAACTACACTCACAACTACACACATATAACATTTTTGCGACCACACACATATACAACAGCAGTCGCACACACAAACACAATGGTTGATAATATATTAATTTATGTAATATTACTTAATTCAAGATTAATGAGAAAAAGTAATATTACATAAAAACAAATAAAATGAAAGTCGAGTTTGCACGACTTAAAATTATAAATTTTGAATTTTATTTCATAGTAACTTATAATTGTAATTCTCTTTTTAACTCGAAATAGTTAATTCTTATTATTTTAACTTATTTAGATAAGTCATAGAACTTTAACTTTTTGACAAAATTTCTAATTTAAACTGTTCAATCGAGATCTAAGTTGTTTATCTAACAAATTGGGTTAAAAAAAAAAAAAAAAAAAAAAAAAAAACCAAAAACCAAAAAAAAATCCAAAAAAAACATAAAAAGGTCATAAGTTGAATTGAGTTCAAAATCTAACCCAAATCTATCCCCTAAATAAACATGTAGGATCAAATTGAAAAACCTATGCTCTATTTAAACAAATCAAACTAAATCAAATCTATAGTTTATCGTTACATTTGCCCCTTAATATAATAATGTTTATATTTTTCAAAGTAAAAGACTATTGTTCAAAAACCATCTTATGGACCTTACAAATGAATTGATACATGTAGGCAAGTTATCAGTCACTTCCTCTCAAAGATGCTCATGATTTGAATATCTTCAAATAAACTTGAACTTACAACTTAAGACCGTCTGGTACCTTATTTGAACAAAACCAACCTCTATATAAGTAGCAACAACACCACCATGTTATGAATATTTGCGACTATTGCATAAAATTTTACTCCGTTCTCTTTGATTGTTGACCATGGTTGTAATAAGGGTAATTTGTTGACCAACTTGGGCGGAAATTTCCCATGTCGGCTATTCATTGATATATTTTGCATGTGACAACAATACTTTAACACGAAAAATAAATATACATTGCTATTTCTTGTATTTTATAAAAACATTTTAACACAAAAAAACAAAAGTAGATAGCTATTTTTTGCATAAGACTTAGGGGTGAGCAAACCCAAACCAAGAAACCGAGAAACCGACTAAAACCGACGAAACCGAAACCGAAAAAAAACGAAACCGAAGCAAAACCGACGGTTAGGGTTTAAATTTTTTAAAAACTGAAAAATCGGGTTCGGTTTCGGTTTTTACCTAGAAACCGACCCATCCAACCCGAGAAACCGACCCATACTTAAAACCGACAAACCGCCCCAAGAAACCGACCCATCCAACCCGAGAAACCGACCCATACTTGATTGTTTTTTGGTTGTAATAAACTATTTCGGGTTTTGGTTGTGACTTGTAATAGACTATTTGTTGTAAGACTCATGTTTTTTGAAGTATTTAACTTAAATTTGGTGTTTTTTGAAGTATTTAACTTGTTGCTTCAATTATGAAAAATGGGTTAAAACCCAAAACCCATGGGTTTAAACCCAGAACCCGTGAATGTATGGGTTGAACCCAAGAAACCGAAAAACCGCCCAAACCGACCTTAGAACCCGAGAAACCGAACCGACCAAAAACCGATCCTATTGGGTTCTGAAAACCAGAAACCGACCATTTATGGGTTGGGTTGGGTTGGGTTTGGGTCCAAAACCAACCCAAACCGACCCATGCACACCCCTAATAAGACTGCAACATGTTAACTCAAAAACTAAATGTAGATTGCTATTTTTTGCATTAGACAACAACAATTTAACACAATAATTATTGTATATTGCTATAACATTTCGTATGGTCCTGTTGGAAGCTTTGGGCTACCTCCTATTCTTCTAATCCTATTCATATAATAAGCTAGTTTGGTTTATTAGATAGCGAGTGATTTGAATTTGACAGTAACAATTTAGCACAAAAAATGAATCTAGATTGCTATTTCTTGCATTTGACAGCAAGATTTGAACACAAAAAATGGCAGAAAATTTAAGAATGTAACCTAGGGGATGGGTGACGGTTACCAACACATATGCACATTTTCATTTTAAACCGTGTAAGAAACTGGTATGTGACTAAACACACATCGCTAAAGTTCTGAAATTGATCCTACACATGAATCTTCGACTCCTACGAAACACACAAGAGACAACTAACATTATTTTTCCACGTTGAATTCTAGTTTAACAAAAGCACAAGAAAATGTAACTCAATTATATTCCTTTGAATATTTTTGTTTGGTTCATGAAGTCGAATGAATGTAAAGTGATTAAAAATGACATAAGTGCCCAACTCATAAAATTGTTAAATGCTTTGTCAGAACTTATAAATGCATAATTATGAATATTTTTATGACTATTTTTGGTATAAAAAATCGAAGAAATATTTGAAATTCCAATGCATCAATAAAGTCATAACAACTATGAACCTTGTCTCATTTTAGCACAGTCCCTGTTTGGTCTTCAAAATCAAAACGAAAAAATAACAATCATTACCCTGTAGAGTTATAGTTCTTATATAAGATTAGATTTTTTTTTTAATTTACACAATTTCAGAAGGATACGATATAGATAGTGTGCCTTTTAAACTTCAATTTAGGTGAAATAATTGGTTTTTAAAAGAAAAATCAGTTCTGAAGAAGGTCAATAAGGAGAGATAGCAGGCGAGATCTCAGGATTCAAAATACCTTCTAATTTTTAGTGTTGATTTTTAGGGACGTGACTCTAACTTTCGCTTAAGGAATAGGCGGGAATAAAATTAAAGGTTTAGGAGGAGATGCCATGTGGCAAAGAAGGGCCGTAGAAAAGAGACATGTGGCATGTTAAGGTTTTATTTATTAGAAGAGGAGATGTTTGGAACGTTTAAATTAATTCGAACTTTTCTTAAGTTGTCATTCTATGGAGCAAAAATAGTTTATAATTTAGTGTTTAAAAGGTTATTTAAACTAGTGTTTTATCGACATTATGAAATTTTATCAAATTTCTCCAATTATAAAAACCTCATTGTTCATATCACCAAAGCTTATCTTTTTCTATTTGACAAATTTACTATTATAATTAGTTTGTGTAATGGTTTACCATATTATATAGACACAGGTAGGATTATTATTTTGGATAGTTAAAAATTATAATGCTATATCACCTTATTAATAAAATGATGTAAATATTTTAACATTTTTAGCACTTAGCTTTTCTAATATGAAAAATAATGTCAAATTCTATATAAACCATTGTAATTTGGTTTTTTTAGTTTAACCAACATTTTTTTTTTCTGATTTAATTGTTGTTTTTTTCATAGAAAACACTATGAGTTTTTTAGTAATGAATTGCAAAAAGCATAGGAATTTTTTTTTTGGTTAAAATGGCATCTATAGAAGAATTCAAAAGTTAATGTTAAATCGAAAATAAATTTCTTTTGGATGGTTAAATCGAATAAACACCAAAAGTAATATGGTTTTTATGGAATTTAAATTTTTATGTAGTGTTTTCATGGTCAAAATAATAAACAAAATTATTTTGATGGTTATACCGTTAAGATCATACCAGGTAAGAGGAAACATGTAAAACATATAGAAACTAGATATTCCCAACATCAACGATTCTTATATAAATTTAGGACAAATAACTAGAAGGTTTTTATGTACTTACAAAATGAAACCTCGCTACAAAATACCTACACCACTCTCAGAACAATACCTCACTAGTCTGGTTGCTGAATTGTATAGTATCTGTCTCAGTCTCATCCAAAGACGAGGCTGCACTAGTATCATTCATCTGGTAATTAATACTCAATTCATCAAGATTAATATAGTCATTAGTATATGATGGGTTTTGAGCATATCTACATTCCTATGTAATCATGCAACCCTAATTGCTTTGGATCTAAGTTTTCACTAGTTATACATTCAAATAGAAATTCCAAAGCAATAACCCTAATACTAGCATACAATTTCGAAATCCATATGAAAACTAGGGTTAGAAGATTACCTTGCTTGCTATGTAGTAATAACAAGAATTTCTTTGTAAATCTTGACTCTTAAAAGCTTAGTGCCTCAAGTGTTGCACCTCTAATGGAGTCACAAACACCACTAGCAAAGGATGAAAGGAGAGAGGAGGTAACTCTTTAGAAATTCGGCCAGGGTTCTCCAAGAAAGCATGGGGCCTAAAATCATATGCTAGGGGTTCCTTATATAGCTGAGACTGCTAGGGTTTTTAGGTGGAAACCCTAATTTCCTTGCTTAGGCCTTAAGCAGTCCATGGACCTCCTACTCTGGAAGCCTTGGACGAAATTCTATAGGGCCTCCTATAGATTTCGTCCACCCCATCCATAAGGAGTCCATCAGCCCAACTTTGCAACTATCAATGATTTGCAAAACCAGTCCCCGTTCTTTTAATCAGTTCCTTTAATCCCAAAATTAATTCCAAATTAATTTCTGATTAAATACTAATTAAATAATATGATTTCTAATTAATATATTATTCTTATAATATATTAATAAATCATTTATTAACCTCTTTCTCCAAAAGTCATCCTGTCAAGTTGCTATGGTGAAGGCAACCCAAAAGGACCATGTTACTATCAAATCAAGTTCATATCAATTATAGTTATGGGCTTAGATACCTAATCCAACAGTCTCCCACTTGGATAAGTCTAATAACTATAATTGCAAGTACAACTTCAGAATCTGACTAGCAATCGTAGCTCTCAAAAGCCGTTGTCGAACTCTGACCTAGTCAATGACGCGTCCTTTAGATAAGGGATCATATAATCCTCCGTTTTGCAAGATATCATGTGGACAAAGACATGGAACATAATCATTCTCATTGTCCAACAGTTTGTTTCCCGATTTCTGATTTGTTTGACAACGAACTTAATTGAACACATCAATTCAGTCTTGACTGGGCCCAACACATAAGTCAACACAAAATCATCGAGGGGCTCAAGATATCGCTTTTACCCCTCAGGATAAAAGGAACAGACAAACTTTGACTTATATGCTTGTACTATTTACTCATCAAATCCTACACAATAATACGTTTTATAACATCAAGTTACTGATGCATTTACGCATTATCAACGCACAACCAACTTGTAAACAACAACTCATATATCTCGGTTTAAAGATTATACGATATTATCGTCTCACAATTACTCGTGATAAATTCCATGAAGTAATTCAAATGAGCGTGGGTTTAATCTAATACTCAAATCCTATTTCAGGAGTAGTCATGAACGTTGCATCAAACATTTGCTATGTCTAAGCACTTAGACAATCTACAAGCCAATTCATGACAGTCTTAATTCACTACTTACTTCTAGAGTATGATTGATTATGGATAATTTAAACAATACAATTATTCAGGAAGTAAAACATGCAAAAGAGAAACAATAGTAAACAATTGACACAAGATAGTAAACAATACTCATAATCTCCATTACTTAATCATCAAATGTCAATTACATTTATCTATTACAAGTTTCTAAAATATCTATCTAATTACTAAAACTAATATCGTCCTTCAGACCAATGCTTCTCACATGCTGAACGTGCTTAATCCTACTCAGACCCTTTGTGAGGGGATCTACAGGATTCTCTTCTGACGATACCTCTTGATGACGATGAGTCCTTCTTCTACCCGACGTCTGATGAAGTGGTATTTTCTGTCGATATGTCTGGATCTGCCATGATCCCTTGGTTCCTTGGTTAAGGCAACCGCTCCTTCATTATCATAGAAAATCTCAATAGGCTCCTTTATGGCTGGTACAACTCCAAGGTCTTCAATGAAGTTCTTTAACCATATAGCCTCCTTTGACGCTTCGCTCGCAACTATATACTCTGATTCGCACGTTGAATCAGCTACAGTCTCCTGCTTGGAACTTTTCCAAGTAACTGCTCCTTCATTAAGGGTAAACATCTAGCCTGACTGAGAACGGAAGTTATCCCGGTCGGTTTGAAAGCTGACGTCACTATACATTGTCACTCTCAAGTCATCACTGCCACCAAGTACAAGGACCCACTCCTTAGTCCTTCGCAGATACTTAAGAATGTTCTTAACTGCTATCCAGTGGGCTTTACCTGGGTTCCATTGATATCGACTGACCATGCTCAAAGCAAAAGCCATATCAGGGCGAGTACATGTCATAACATACATGATCGATCCAACAACGGAAGCAAATGGAAACCGACTCATTTCTGCCATCTCGGCATCGGTACTTGGACTCTGGGTCTTACTTAGCTTGGTATTGCTCTGGATAGATAACTCCCCTTTCTTGGAATTCCCCATGCTAAAACGATTTAACACTTTATCCAGGTAAGTACTTTGACTAAGTCCAATTAGTCTTCTACTCCTATTTCTCAAAATCCTTATCCCTAGAATATAAGCAGCTTCCCCTAGATCCTTCATAGCAAAGCACTTCCCAAGCTAGGACTTAACCTCCTGTAAGGTTCGAACGTCGTTTCCTATGAGTAGTATGTCATCAACATACAATACTAGAAAGCTAACTTTGATATATACACATGACTCATCCTCATTCCTAGAGAAACCAAACTCTTTGACTTTCTCATCAAAGCAAAGATTCCATATGCGAGAAGCTTGCTTCAATCCATAGATGGATTTCTCAAGCTTACACACTCTATTGGAGTATTTAACATCCACAAAACCTTCTGGCTGACACATGTAAACATCTTCAGCCAGCTTCCCATTAATGAAAGCGGGTTTGACATCCATCTGCCAGATTTCATAATCATGAAACGCAGTGATGGCTAACATAACCCTAATAGACTTGATCTTGGCTATTGGTGAAAAGGTCTCATCATAGTTATCCCCCAGTGTTTGAGTAAAGCCCTTCGTAACCAGCCGTGCCTTGAACGTGTGCACCTTTCCATCAATGTAAGTCTTCTTCTTGAAGATCCATTTGCACCCAACTGTCTTTCAACCTGGTATATTGGCAACCAAGTTCCAAACTTGATTGTCACACATGGACTAGATCTCGCTGTCTATTACCTCTTTCCACCTGGCAGACTCAGGGCCCGCCATGGCTTCCTTGTAGTTAGCAGGTTTATCCAAATTTATCAGTTTACTATCACTAATAAACGTATTACCTTCTATAGTTATATGGAAACCATACAACACAGGCAGAACACTAACCCTACTGGAACTTCTAAGAGGCAATGACTCGTCAACTGGTTCAACATGAATCTCTTCCTCAGGTTGAGCGTTAGTGTTAGAGGTTTCTTCACCGCTTGATTCTTGAATCTCTTCAAGATCAATTGTCCTCCCACTGTCCTCTTGGCATATGAGTTCCCTCTCGCGGAAAACTCCCCTCCGCGCTACGAAGACCACGTTCTCACTAGGTCTGTAGAACAAGTATCCAAAGGACTTATGTGGGTAGCCGATGAAAATACACCGCTCACTTCGAGGTTCAAGCTTGTCGTGAGTCTCTCGTCTAATGAAAGCTTCACAACCCCCAAACCCTGATATGTGCCAACGAGGGAACCTTCCCTGTGCACATCCCGTGAGGTGTTTTGGCAACCTTCTTTGACGGGACTAGATTAAGGATATGGGTGATAGTCTCTAAGGCATACCCCCAGAACAATATTGGAAGTGTAGCTTCACTCACCATGGAATGAACCATGTCCAACAAGGTCCGATTACACCTCTCAGCCACACCATTAAGTTGTGGTGTCCTAGGAGGTGTCAATTGTGAAACAATTCCACATTCCTTAAGATAGTCGTAGAACTCGATACTAAGATACTCACCACCCCTATCAGATCTGAGTATCTTTATCTTTCTGCCCAATTGATTTTTTTACTTCATGTTTAAACTCGTTGAACTTTTCAAAGGTTTCTGAATTGTGCTTGATTAAGTAGATATATCCATATCTGCTATAATCATCGGTAAAAGTCACATAAAATCGATTTGCATCCCTTGTGGTGGATCTGAAGGACCCACACACATCTGTGTGTATGAGATCCAACAATCCTTTACCTCTTTCAAAAGAACCAGTGAAAGGTGATTTAGTAATCTTCCCAAGCAAACAAGATTCGCACGTGTCATCTGACCTAAGGTCAAATGACTTCAATATTCCATCCTTTTAGAGTTGGGTAATGCGCTTCTTGTTGACATGTCCAAGACAACAATGCCACAAGCATGCCTTGTCTAAACCATTAGACGAATCAATATGCAACACATTATTTCCTAAGTTATCTACTACCATCACAGTTTCATCTACACCATTACAAGGCAATGCTTCAAAATAAAATAAACCATTATAATAAGCATTAATATAACCAATTTCATTATTAAATGAAAATCTAAAACCTTGTCTGTATAAACCATGAAAAGAAATAATATTCCTTGTCATTTCTGATGAGTAGCAACAATCATTCAAATCTAAACCTAACCTACTACTAAGCACTAAAGAGTAAACTCCGATCTTGGTAACATGAGACGACTTCCTATTGCCCATTATCAGGTTCATCTTCCTATGCTCCACATCCCTACTTCTTCCTAGTTTCTGCAAATCAGAACAAATATGAAAACCACATCCTGTATCAAGGACCCAAGAACTAGCATGTGATGAGTTTTTAGACAGAATAATATAAATACCTGTAAAGGTGGGATTTTGTTGGATTAGTGTCTAAGTCCATAACTATAATTGGTATATACTTGACTCGACCCGGCATGGTCCATTTGGGTTGCATGGCATTGGAACAATTTGGATAGACCTTTTGTGAGAAGAGGATATTTGTGACATATTAATATATTATAA